TGGATTTATCTGCATATTCATTCATGGTTTTTATATATGGTTATCATTATTAAGTTTGTATATAACTTCTGCAGATAGCAGTCTTTGTGTTAAGTTGATGGTCATTTAAGTTTGAACTCTTTCTTTACTCCTCTCCTCACGATTTAGGTTATGTTGTTATCTTTTACATCCTTTTATCTGTGAGTTCCTTGACTGATTTAAAAGAAAATTTATGCTTTTATTTTATTTTTGAAGGGAGAGACAGAGTGCAAGCGGGGGAGGGGCAGAGAGACTGTGAGATCAAGATCTGAGCTGAAGTCAGATGCCTAATCAACTGAACCACCCAGGTGCCCCCATTGACTGATTTTTGAAAGAAATATTCATGGGACGCTTGGGTGGCTCAATCGGTTAAGGGTCCAGCTTCAGCTCAGGTCATGATCTCGCAGTTTGAGAGTCTGAGCCCTGTGTGGGGCTCTGTGCTGACAGCAGAGCCCGGAGCCTGTTTCAGATTCTATGTTTCCCTCTCTCTCTCTCTCTCTGCCCCTACCCCACTTGCACTCTGTCTCTATCTCTCTTAAAAATAAATAAACATTAAAGAAAATGTTTTTTAAAATTAACAAAAAAAAAGAAATCTTCATTTTCACTGCCTTTGTGTTTGCTACCTTTATATTGTCAATTTTGGTCTTTTCTTTCCAGTCAGAGTTCCCTTTAATATTTCCTGCAGGATTATTTAGTGGTCATGAGCTTTTTTAGTTTTTGTCTGTCTGAGAAACTCTCTCTATTTTGAATGATAGCCTTACTGGATATTCTTGGCTGCAGATTTTCCCCACTCAGCACTTTGACTGTATCATGTCACTCCCTTCTAATTTGGAAATTTTCTGCTGAGAAACCCCTTCCTAGCCTTTTAGGTTTTTTGTAACTCACTGTCTTCTTTTGTCTTCCTGCTTTAAAATTTTTTTCTTGTGGAGCCTGGGTGGCTCAGTGAGTTGAGTGTCCTACTTTGGCTTAGGTCATGATCTCATGGATGGTGGGTTCGAGCCCCGCGTCAGGCTCTGTGTTGACAGCTCAGAGCCTGGAGCCTGCTTCGGATTCTGTGTCTTCCTTTCTTTCTGTCCTTCCCCCACTCGTGCTCTGTCTCTCAAAAATAAATAAATGCTAAAATAAAATAAAAATTTCTTTATCACTATACTTTGCTACTTCATTACAATATATCTTGGTGTGGGTCTGCTCTTGTTGATTTTGATGAGAGTTCTCTGTGTCTTCTGGATCTAAATAACTGTTTCTTTCCCCAGATTAGGGAAGTTTTCAGCTAATATTATTTCATATAAAAATTTCCCTCCTATCTCTTTCTTCTTCTGGGAATCCTACAATATGAATGCCCTTATATTTCATGGAGTCATTGAGTTCCTAAGTTATTTATTTATTTATTTATTTATTTATTTATTTATTTATTATATCCAAGTTAGTTAGCTTATAATGCAATAATGATTTCAAGAGTAGGTTTCAGTGATTCATCCCCTATGTATAACACTCAGTACTCATCCCAAGAAGTGTCTTCCTTGATGTCCCTTATCCATTTAGCCCATGCCCCTACCCACAGCCCCTCCAGCAACCCTCAGTTTATTCTCTGTATTTGTCTTTTATGTTTTGTCCCCCTCCTTGTTTTTATATTATTTTTGCTCCTTCCCTTATGTTCATCTGTTTTATATCTTAAATTCCACATATGAGTGAAGTCATATGATATTTTTGTTTCTCTGACTAATTTTGCTTAGCAAATAATACCCTCTAGTTCCATCCACGGAGTTTCAAATGGCAAGATTTCATTCTTTTTTGATTGCCAAGTGATACTCCATTGTATACATCTTCTTTATCCATTCATCTGTTGATGGACATTTGAGCTCTTTCCATACTTTAGCTATTTTTTAAAAATTTATTTCTAGGAGAGAGAGAGAGAGACAGCATGAGCAGGGGAGGGTCAGAGAGAGAGGGAGACACAGACTCTGAAACAGGCTCCAGGCTCTGAGCTGGCAGTCAGCACAGAGCCCGACGCGGGGCTCGAACCCACGAACCGCGAGATCATGACCTAAGCGAAAGTCGGACGCTTAACCGACTAAGCCACCCAGGCACCCCTCCATACTTTAGCTATTGTTGACAGCGCTGCTATAAACATTAGGGTGCATGTGTCCCTTCAAAATTGCACACTTGTATCCCTTGGATATATACCTAGTAGTGCAATTGCTAGGTTGTGGGGTAGTTCTATTTTTAACTTTCTGAAGAACCTCCATTCTGTTTTCCAGACTGACTGCACCAGTTTGCATTCCCACCAGCAGTGCAAAAGAGATCCTCTTTCTCTGCATCCTCGCCAACATCTGTTGTTGCCTGAGTTGTTAATTTTAGCCATTCTGACTGGTGTGAGGTGGCATCTCATTGTAGTTTTAATTTGTATTTCCCTGATGATGAGTGATGTTGTGCGTTTTTTCATGTGTTTGTTAGCCACTTGGATGTCTTCTTTGGAAAAGTGACTATTTATGTCTTTTGCCCATTTCTTCACTGGATTAATTGTTTTTTGGGGTGTTGAGTTTGATAAGTTCTTTATAAATTTTGGATACTAACCCTTTATCTTATATGTCATTTGCAAATATCTTTCCCCATTCCATTGGTTGCCTTTTAGTTTTGTTGATTGTTTACTTCACAGTGCAGAAGCTTTATATTTTGATTAAGTCCCAATAGTTCATTTTTGCTTTTGTTTTCCTTCCCTCTGGAGATGCGTTAAGAAGTTGCTGCGGCCAAGGTCAAAGAGGTTTTTGACCTCTAGGATTTTGATGGCTTCCTGTCTTACGTTTAGGTCTTTTATCCATTTTGAGTTTATTTTTGTGTATGCTGTAAGAAAGGTTCATTTTTCGGCATCTTGCTGTCCAGTTTTCCCAACACTATGTGCTGAAGAGACTGTCTTTATTCCATTGGATATTCTTTCCTGCTTTGTCAAAGATTAGTTGTCCATATGTCTGTGGGTCGATTTCTGTTTTCTCTGTCCCTAAGTCTATTTTAATGTTACATAATTCTTTTCTTTCTTTCTTTCTTTCTTTCTTTCTTTCTTTCTTTCTTTCTTTCTTTCTTTCTTTCTTTTTTCAGCTTGATTAATTTCCATTACTCTGTCTCCTAGATCACTAATTTCCTTCCTCCATTTCTTGCATCCTGTTGTTCATTCCATCAAGTGCATTTCTCATTTTGCTTCCTGAGCCCTGTATCTCTGCTATGTTATTCTTTATCTCTGTACTAAGTGTCTTACTCATGTTTTCCACTCTTTTCTCAAGTCCAGTGAGTATTCTTAAGATCATTACTTTAAATTCTCTATCAGGCATGTTACTTATATCTATTTCATTCAGATCACTGGCCATGGTCTTGTCCTGTTGTTTCATTGGGATACATTTCTGTGTCTTTTCATTTTGTCTAAGTCTATGTGCCTGTTTCTCTGTGTTAGGAAAGACAACTATATCTTCTGTACTTGGAGGGTAATGGCCTTATGAAGAGGTCCTGTAGTGCCCCACTGTGTAGTATCCCCTAATCCCCAGGTCTGGCATGTTTGGGAGCGTCTCTAATGGCTACTGCATATGCTCTGGCTGCTTTGTCTTTTATACTTCAGGTCAGTCATCTGTGGAGGCTTTCTTTGCCTGTTGTGGACAGTGTTTGGTCCTGTCCTGAATGTGGCACATTTTAACTAGGGTGTGCTCTAGTCTGTTTGTGAAATAAGATCTGTTACCGTTGCCACTGGAACCGAGGCTTTGCAAAACTCCAATGTTGGGATATGTGGTGTGAGCAGGGTTTTAGGCTGGTCTTCTTGGGTATGGGGCCTACTGTGCTGGGATTGAGGCAAGTATGACTGAATGGGAGTGTTCCATAGGAGCGTGGGGAATGGGGCTTAGTGTAAGTTAAATAGTGAGTATTGGTGCTACCCTGGTTCCCACAGGTGTCCCTGTGCTTACGCTGAGGGGCAGGTAAAAGGAAATGATGCCTGCCAGTTCCCTGGAGGGGTCTCTCCATGAGTACTCTCTGGGATGGGCTCTGAGATGAGTGAATAACCTCCCCACTGTGTGGTTCCAGGCACTCTTCAGATTGCTTTTTCCATGTTGTGCATCAACAGGTTGTTTGTCTCCCCGCCATCTTCCCACCATCCCCACAGAGCAGCACACTGCCCTCTGGGCTCTATTCCAGCCAAGACCATTGACCTTTAACGCTCCAGGCTTTAAGTCCTGTTGGTTGCAAGAAACCACAAAATTTAGCCCCTGTCACTTTCCAAGCCAATTGCTATGGGGATTCATCTTCCCCATGAACTACCTTGTGTGCTAGTCTGTCTCTCACCAAAAGAAATCATTAAATTTTTTTAATGTTTATTTATTTTTGAGAGAGAGAGAGAGCGAGTGAGCGAGCAGGGGAGGAGCAGAGAGAGAGACACACACAGAATCTGAAGAAGTCTTCAGGCTCTGAGCTCTCAGCAGGGCTTGAACTCATGAACTGTGAGTTCAATGACATGTGCCAAAGTTGAGCGCTCAGTGGACTGAGTCACCCAGGCGTCTCAAAAGAAATCATTTTAATATGTTGTGTACAAATATGAGTATGTTTAATGATTCTGAATAGAAGGTAACCACCACTGCATGTATTTTAAAAGTTTTAGAACAGTATAAAATGGCTTCCCACTTTCCAACTTCTACTCCTAAAGTGCCCTAAGTTACTATTTACATACTATCCAAGTATTTACCAGGGCACAAGACAAACAGCTAAATACGTTACTTTGAAAAAATTACAGTACAGATAGTTGGTAGATATGTTTTTTATTATTTCATATGATTGTAAGTTGACATATAGAATTGATTTTCCCACTTTTTTCTAAATGAAATTCCAAAATGCTGTTATCCTCTCATAATTCTAAGAAATTTACAAAATATTAATTAGAAAAATTAAGGCTGGAAATGGTTTTCATGAGAGGTTCTAGACAGTTTTACATAATAGTGGAACTGTTTTTGTTACTAACATTCTCAAGTTTAAACTAGACCTATTTCCTAAAATCTCTTCTGTTGTCACAATGAATTTTTTTAGTGTAAAGCAGTTCCTTTGCTGTTAGGTGAATGCTTACAAGGATTTATACCAAATCAGATTTACTTTTAAGTAATAATTGAGATGTATCTAGATATACCTATTCTTGATGTAATTTATTTTAGAACCTCCTTAAAAGGTGAAAAGCATAAAAATTAGTTGATTAGAAAATATTGAATTACAACAGCACACAAAATAGCAACTAGTGCAAATCCTATCACAAGGATTAGAATAAATGTATCATCACTCATCTCTATTCTGGGCTTTTCTTTTTTCTCTTCACTAGGGCTGTTTCTTCCCTTTCGTCCACCGCCTTTCCCAGGCCCTAGATGTTGCTTATGTGTTGAGAAAAGAGTGCTGGGGCTATATGGTCCCCAGAGCTCTTGTAGCCCAGCAGAAGTCTGATATTGGCGTCCAGCACAGACCTTGAAGCGATAATGTGAATTTGTGACAAATTTGGAAAAAGAGAATGAAGTGTTTGGTCCTTTGTAAATCTAAAGAAAATTGAGACAAAGTGAAAATTATATTGTTTTGCCAAATGAAATAATATGGTATAGTTTTTTGACAACAAGAAAAATATGAATTAACCGATTCATCTCATAAATATGTTCACAACAACAACAAAATTACTCTTATAGTCTATAATATCATGAGGACCCTGTACTGTTCAGGTAATTTTGTTCCATGTAAGAAATAACAAAGACTTATAATTGTTAAACTTTAATTTCATTTGGTTTAGAAGGAGTTGTGCATGTGGTCAGTGAAACCTAGAAATATCAAATCATTCAGTCAAGATATGTTATTTAAGTGAATAAGCAAATTGTTCCAAAATAAGTAATATATACATAAAACTTTAGGGGGAAGCTAGGACTTTTGGATAATATTTCATTATTTAAACATTATAAAGGATGTCTTATTCCACAACAAGAGCTCAATCCAAGTAGGATATAAAATTATAAAATTTTAAAGACTAAATTTGCAAAAATTTACCAGGTCAGTTCCCTTATCAGTGATGAGTTGAAGGTTGTAAATAATGGGATCTCCTTTTATTGGCTCCAAAGACTTCCATTTGACTTCACAAGTATTACTGTTCACATGCTGTAATTTAGGTGCTAGGAAAAGAGAATTTCAGTGTAGAAGTTTTAATTTTTCCTAGATGACCTCAGTAAACTTGGCTAGGATAGAGACCTGAACGCACTGCCCTGCTCCTGGAGAGAAGGCAGGCAAACAACCCAGGGGCATAAAGCAAGGAAACAGGGATCTGAAGAATGCCTGGTGCACGTGGGAGGGAGATAACTCACTCTTCTTGGAGTACTTCCCTGAGAGGCAGTCATTTATGAAGATGCCTCTCTGTGAACAAAGTAGCTGGCTGGCACCGAATTTCCCTCCCTGCCACTAAGCATAAACACAGAGCCACTTGCAGGAAGCAGTATGGCATCTATACTGGCTGCCTAATTTGTTTATACCAAGCCCCACACACCTGTGCTCTGGAAGTTATGCCCTTCGACAAGTTTTCGGTCCCAGTGTGATGGACCATTCCCGTAGAAAACCAGAACAAACCCTTGCCCATACATTTTCCAATCAGAGAGTTCTGCAAGGGACTTGGTTTTAGTGGAAGTAGTATCAGGTCTCATTTCTCAAGCATACCAGAGCACACCTAGTTAACACTCACCATATTCAGGCTAGAGCCAAAAACTGCCCAGAGCAGGCAAGGGGAGCTTGTGAAGATGACTGGCCTGAGGGATAAAGCAGCCAAAACACAAAAGCAGAGCACACGAAGCACACATCAGAGACACTCCCTGACTCACCAGATCCTGGACATTACATGGGCTCTTCATAAAGCCATTACATCCAGAAGCAGGACATAATTGGTTTTTCTAACACAGAGAAGGCAGAGACTTAGACAAAATGCCAAGACAGAGGAATTTATCCCAAATGAAAGAAAAAGATAAGGCCATGGGAGAGATCTAAGAAAAGCAGATATAAATAACGTGCCTGATGGAGAATTTGATGCAACAATCATAAGGGTACTCAGTGGGCTTGAGAAAACACTCGAAGACATGAGAGAGACCCTTACCACAGAGATAAAAGAATTAAAAAAGAATCAGAAATGAAGAATCCAATAGATTGGAAATAGGCTCAAAGCAATGAACATCAGGCTGTGAGAAGCACAGGAATGAATTAATGACCGAGAAGAAAAAAATAATGGAAAATAATGAAACTGAACAAAAGAGAGAAAGAAGAATTAATGGAACATGAGAATAGACTTAGGGAACTCACTGATTCCATCAAGTGTAGTAACATTCATGTTATAGGAATCCCATAAGTAGAAGAGACAGAAAAGAGGGCAGAAAATTTATGTGAGAAAATAATAGATGAATACTTCCCTAATCTGGGGAAGGAAACAGAAATCCAGATCCAGCTGGCACAGAGAACTCCCATCAAAATGGTAAAAAAAAAAAAAAAAAAAAAAAAAAAAANAAAAAAAAAAAAAAAAAAAAAAAAAAAAAAAAAAAAAAAAAAAAAAAAAAAAAAAAAAAAAAAGCAGGGCAACAACAAGAGATATTGTAAATTGCAAAATATAGTGCAATTTCTTAAACGCAACAAGACCAAGAAACCCTTAATGTACTAAGGAAGACCCATAAGTCTAGCTGGAGATTTCTGAACAGAAACTTGGCAAACAAAAATGGAGTGATATGGTATATTCAAAGTATTGAATGGGAAAAATCTGCACGTAGGAATACTCCATCCAGCAAACCTATCACAGAGAATAGAAGGAGAGAAAAAGAGTTCCCCAGACAAAATTAAACTAAAAGGTTTGTGACCACTACATCAGTCCTGCAAGAAATATTGAAGGGGGGAAAAAAAAAGAAATATTGAAGGGGACTCTTTGAGTGGAAAGGAAAGGCTATAAGTCACAAAGACAGTAATGGATCAGAGAAAATCTCTAGAAACAATGAAAAAACAAGTAATAAAATGGCAATAAATGCATATCTATCGATTACTTTGAATGTGAATGAATTAAATGCTCCAATCAAAAGACATGTGAGACTGGATAAAAAACTAAAAAACAAGACCCATCTATATGCCGCCTACAAAAGACTCACTTTAGATCTAAACACACATGTAGATTGAAAGTGAGGTGATGAAGAAATATTTGTCATGCAAATGGATGTCAAAGGAAAGCCAGAGTTGCAATAATTATATTGCACAAATTAGACATTAAAACGAAGACTTTAGCAAGAAATAAAGAAGAGCACTATATCATAATAAAGGAGACAGCCCAACAAGAAGATATAACAATTGTAAATATTTATGTCCCTAATTTGAAAAGACCCAAATATGTACAACAATAACAAACATAAAGGAACTAATTGATAATAATACAACAATAGTAGGGTGCTTTAACACTCTACTTACATCAATGGACAGGTCACATATGCAGAAAATCAACAAGGAAACAATGACTTTGAATGACACTCTGGACCAGATGTTCTTAACAGATATATTCAGAACATTCCATCCTAAAGCAGCAAAATATACATTCTTTTCAAGAGCCAATGTAATATTAGAATAAATCAGACATCAGGTCAAAAATAAGGCCTCAACAGATACAAAAAGATCAATCTCATACTATGCATATTTTCTGATCATAACACTAAGAAACTTTAATTCAACCAGAAGAAAATATTTGGAAAGGCCACAGATACATAGAGGTTAAGCAACATGCTACTAAACAATGAATGAGTCAACCAGGAAATCAAAAAAAGAGATAAAAGAATACATGGAAGAAAATGAAAATGAAAACAAGTGGTCCAAAACTTTTGGGATGCAGCAAAAAGTGGTCCTGAGAAGGATGTATATAGCAATGCAGGCAGACCTTAAGAATCAAGAAAAATCTCAAATCAACAACCTAAAGGAACCTAACTTTACACCTAAAGGAACTAGAAAAAAATCACATAAAGCCTAAACCCAGAAACAAGGAAATAATAAATGGTAGAGCAAAAATAAATGATACAGAAACAAACAAACAAACAAACACAAAACCCACAATAGAACAGATCAATGAAACAGGAACTGGTACTTTGAAAAGGTAAATAAAATAAACAAACTCATAGCCAGAGTTATCAAAAAGAAAAGAAAAAGGACACAAATAAATAAAATGACAAACGAGAGAGGAGAAATAACCGACACCACAGAAATATAAACAATTGTAAGAGAATATTATGACAAATTATATGGCAATACATTGGACAACCTGGAAGAAATGGATAAATTCCTAGAAACACATAAAGTACCACAGCTGAAACAGGAAGAAATGAAAAAAAAAAAAAAACATCAAAAGACTAATAGCCAGCAATAAAATCGCATCAGTAGTCAAAAAATAACCAACAAATATATGTCGAGGACAGATGGCTTCACAGGAGAATTCTTCCAAGCATTTAGAGAAGAGCGAATACCTCTTCTCAAACCATCCAAAAAACAGAGAAGGAAGGAAAACTTCCAAACTCATTCTATGAGGCCAGCAGTGCCCTGATACCAAAACCAGATAAAGACTCCATTAAAAAAGAGAATTAACGACCACTATTCCTGATGACCATGAATGAAAAAATTCTCCAGGTGGAGATGGCACAGAAGTACGGAACTCCGTACATTTCACTCGCCCCCATCTCTCAAATGGAGAAGGCTTGAAGCCATAGGAACCCTTACAGAATCCAGGAGTTTGAGAGGAAAAGGAGACAGAGTCCGCTGAGAAAACTTATAGTGTCAATGCAAACTGGGGAAGATAAAAACGGGCTGGGACCAGAGACACTGAGGGAGGGAAGGGAGCCCCCTTTGCAGGGAGCTCTGGTGGGTCAAGGGGAAAAGAAAGAGCAGCTGAAACTGCTCAAGGAACTGTCCCTGTCCCTGGATAAGAGAAAAACCTCAGCCAGGGACACAGAGGGATCCGGTTTCCAGCTGTGCAGCTGACCTTGAGTGGGACCCATTGGTCCCAGGCGACGCCAGGAGAAACTGCTCCTCTGCTCACCAGCTTGACCTGGAGGGGAAGTGGCGCGCCTGAAACCGCTCCGCCACCCTTCTGGCTAGGCTTGATTCCCAGTGGGGAGGCGAGAGGCTTGAAACTGCTCGGAGGGACTTGGCCTGTGGGTTTATATTTCGGGTGGTATCAATGGGGTGTGAGGACTAAAATCTGGAAACGAAGTATGACTTGGGACATAGAGCACTGCCTGCCTTCGCTATGCCGGCAGCACAGAGAAATTGGACCTAAAAGAGTGAGTTGCAATGCTTGGTTTGAGAAGGGCCTGGCATGCAGCCATTTTTCTCCCCACAACCAATAAGGCGGGACCACATGGAGCGACCCGCAGGATGCATTGGAGGCTAAGACCAGCCTGCACCAAAACATGTCCATCCCCGCTAGAGAGCTGCTTTTTTATTTAACCGGAGCCCAGGTCAAGACCAACATGGATGCACTACCGTGATTAATTCTAGATCAATTCTTTCTATTCAGATATATTTTCCCTTGTCTCATTCGTATCTCTCCCCTCTGCTGGACTGGGGACCCTGGTCACTGCCTTGCTTAAACAGTCACATTTAATCCATTCTCTAAATGTATATTCTACACCTCCATCTCTACCTTTCTCTCTCTTTCTCTCTGGAGTAATCAGACTATATAGTCTCTCTGAGTAATATTATCTTTGTTTCTTTCTCCTCACCTCTTACCATATTCTCCTCTTTCTCTCTCTGAATTAAGCCTCTTAGTCTCTCTGCCTGGTTATTTCTCTTCCAATTTCACTTCTTACCTGCCCTGTCATTTCTCTCTTTGTATATGCTCTTCCATCAGCACTGCATACACCCGGCTCTTTATTTGTAGCTGGGATTTCTGGTTTTATGCTTTTAGACTGTCCTTTGTTCTTTCTTTTTTCTTCATTTTTATTTTCATTATGTGTTTTTCCCCTTTCCTCTTTTTTTTCCCTTCTTTTTTTTCTCTTTTTCCCCTTCGGTTTACGTGTTTGTTAGATTTGTTTGTGCGTTTGTGTTCCTTTGTTCCCTGTGTGTTTGTCTGTCTGTTTTCTTTCCAGGGCTACCTCAAGAAACAAGCCAAAGTACACATGGTGGAGAGTCCCAAATACCACTACAAGTAGGGAAATAAAATAACCAAAGTCTCAACAAGAGAGACCAAGAGATACCATTCAAAGAAAACTTCCTGAACGGACAGGCCCTGGACAAAGAGCCTTCTTTAATACAGCAGTATTCAGAGGTGCAGAGTGCATTAGAAGCTTCTAAAACTAACAAGAGACAAAAAGCTAGCCAATATGACGAAATGGAAGAACTCTCCTCTAAATGAATTCCAGGAAGAAATGTAGCTAAAGAACTGCTCAAAACAGATATAAGCTACAAAGACTGTGGAGCTTAAAAATTCTTGTAATGAATTAAAAATGCTATAAATAAGATGCATAATAAGAAAGAGGCGTCCAATGAACGGACTGAAGAAACAGAGAGAAGAATAGGTGAATCAGAAGACACAATTATAGAAAAACAGGAAGTAGAGAAAAAGAGAGATAAACTGATCCAGGAACGCGAAAAGAGAGTTCGAGAGCTGAGAGATACAATCAAACGGAATATCCGTATCATAGGAATTCCAGAAAGGAAGAGAGAGGGAAAGATGCTGAAAGAGTCCTAGAACAAATAATAGAGAACTTCCCCAATCCGGGGAAGGAAACAGACATTGAAATCCAAGAGGCACAGAGAACACCCCTCAAATGTAACTTGAATCGATCTTCTGCAAGACATATCATAGCGAAACTGGCAAAATATAAGGACAAAGAGAGAATTCTGAAAGCAGCTAGGGATAAAAGGGCCCAACATACAAAGGGAGACCTATCAAAGTGGTGACAGACCTATCTACTGAAACTTGACAGGCCAGAAAGGAATGGTAGGAAATCTTCAATGTGATGAACAGGAAAAATCTTTAGCCAAGAATCCTCTATCCAGCAAGACTGTCATTCAGAATAGAAGGAGAGATAAAAGTCTTTCCAAAGAAACAAAAATGGAAAGCATTTGTCACCACTAAATAAGCCCTACAAGAAATACTGAGGGGGACTCTATGAGGGAAATGTTGCAAGGAACAAAAGATACCAGAGACACAACCACAAGCATGAATCCTACAAAGAACACAATGACTCTAAACCCATATTTTTGAATAATAACACTGAATGTAGATGGACTAAATGCTCCAATCAAAACACATAGGATAGCAGAATGGATTAAAAAAACCCCAAAATCCATCTATTTGCGGTCTACAAGAAAGTCATTTTAGACCCGAGGACACCTTCAGATTGAAAGTAAGGGGATGGAGAAATATATATCATGCTACTAGAAGTCAAAAGAAAGCTGGAGTAGCTATACATATATCAGACAAACTAGACTTTAAAGTAAAGGCAGTAACAAGAGATGAAGAAGGGCATTATGTAATAATTACAGGGTCTATCAGTCAGGAAGAGCTAACAATGATAAATGTCTACATAGCAAATACGGAGGCACCTAAATACATGAAACAGTTAATCACAAACAGACACAATATTATGGATAAGTATATGCTATAGGAGGGGACTTTAATACTCCACTTACAGCAATGGATAGATCAACTAGACAGAAAATCATTAAAGAAACAATGGACTTGAATGTCACATTGGACCAGATGGATCTGACAGATATATTTAGAACTCTACATCCTGAGGCCAGGGAATTCACTTTCTTCTCAAGTGCGCATGGCACATTCTCCAAGATAGATCACATATTGGGACATAAAGCTGCCTTCAATAAATATAAAAGAATTGAGATCATACCATGCACAGTTTCAGATCACAATGCTATGAAACTTAAAATCAACCACAGGAAGAAGTCCTGAAAACCTCCAAAAACATGGAGGTTAAAGAACTCCCTACTAAAGAATGAATGTACCAATCAGGCAATTAGAGAAGAAATTAAAAACGATATGGAAAGAAATGAAAAGGAAAATACAACAATCCAAACTCTATGGGAGGCGGCAAAGGCAGTCCTCAGAGGAAGATACATTGCACTCCAGGACTATTTCAAGAAATTAGAAAAAGCGCAAGAACAAAATCTAACAGTGCACCTAAAGGAATTAGAAGGAGAGCAACAAGAGCACCCTTTACCCAGTAGGAGAAGAGAAATAATAAAAATCAGGGCAGAAATAAACAATATAGAATAAAAAAAAAAGTTGAACAGATTAATAAAACCAAGAGTTGGTTTTTTGAAAAAATAAGCAAAATTGACAAACCTTTAGCCAGCCTTCTCAAAAAGAAAAGATAGAGCACTCAAATAGACAAAATCATTAATGAAAATGGACAGTACAACCAACCCTTCAGAAATTCAAGCAGTTATCAGGGAATACTATGAAACATTATATGCCAACAAACTAGACAACTTAGAAGAAATGGACAAATTCCTAAACACACACTACCAAAATTCACACGAGAAGAGATAGAAAATCTGAACAGACCCATAACTAGTGATGAAATTGAATCTGTAATCAAAAGTCTCCCAACAAATAAGAGCCCTGGGCCAGATGGCTTCCGTGGGGAATTCTACTAGACATTTAAAACAGAATTAATACCCATTCTTCTCAAGCTATTCCAAAAAGATAGAAATGGAAGGAAAACTTCTGGACTCATTTTACGAAGCCAGCATCACTTTGATTCCCAAATCAGACAGAGACCCAGCAAAAAAAGAGAACTACAGGCCAATATCCTTGATGAATATGGATGCAAAAATCTTCAACAAGATACTAGCAACTCGAATTCAACAGCACATAAAAAGAATTATCCACAATGATCAAATGGGATTCATTCCTGGGTTACAGGGCTGGTTAAAGATTCACAAATCAATCAATGTGATACATCATATTAAGAAAAGATAAAAACCATATGATCCTGTCGATAAAGAGAAAGCATTTGACAAGATACAGCATCCCTTCTTAATAAAGACCCTTGAGAAAGTCGGGATAGAAGGAACTTACTTAAACATCATAAAAGCCATCTATGCGAAGCCCTCAGCTATCATCCTCAATGGCGACAAACTGAGAGCTTTCCCCCCTGAAATCAGGAACACGACAGAGATGTCCACTCTCACCACTGTTGTTTAACATAGTGCTGGAAGTCTTAGCATCAGCAAGCAGAGAACAAAAGGAAATCAAAGGCATCAGAATTGGCAAAGAAGAAGTCAAACTTTCACTTTTCGCAGACGACATGATACTCTACATAGAAAATCCGACAGACTCCACCAGAAGCCTACTAGAACTGATCCAAGAATTCAGTAAAGTTGTAAGGTACAAAGTCAACGTACAGAAATCGGTTGCATTTTTATACACCAATAAAGAGGCCACAGAAAGAGAAATCAAGAAACTGATCCTATTCACAATTGCACAAAAAAACCATAAAATACCTAGTAATAAATCTAACCAAGTATATAAGAAATCTGTATGATGAAAACTATCAAAATCTTATGAAGGAAATTGAAGAAGACACAAAGAAATGGAAAAACATTCCATGCTCATGGACTGGAAGGATAAATATAGGTAAAATGTCATTACTACCCAAAGCAATCTACACATTCAATGCAATCCCAATCAAAATTGCACCATCATTCTTCTCAGGGCTAGAATAAATGATCCTAAAATTTGTATGGAACCACAAAAGACCCCGAATAGTCAAAGTAATACTGAAGAAGAAAACAAAATGGAGGCATCACCATCCCAGACTTTAACCTCTACTACAAAGCTGTAATCTTCAAGACAGTATGGTATTGGCACAAAAACAGACACATAGATGAATGGAACAGAATAGAGAACTCAGAATTGGACCCACAAATGTACGACGAATTACTCTTTGACAAAGTGGGAAAGAGTATCCAATGGACAAAAGGCAGCCTCTTTAACAAATGGTGCTGGTAGAACGGAGCAGCAACATGCAGAAGAATGAAATTATATCACTGTCTCACACCATACTAAAAAATAAACTCAAAATGGATAAAGGACCTGAATGTGAGACGGGAAACTATCAAAACCCTAGAGGAGAAAGCAGGAAACAACCTTCTTGACCTCAACTGCAGCATCTTCTTACTTGACACATTCCCAAAGGCAAGGGAATCAAGAGTAAAAACGAACTTTTGGGATCTCCTCAAGAGAAAAAGCTTCTGCATGGCAAGGGAAACAATCAATAAAATTAAGAGGCAAACGATGGAGTTGAACATTTAAAGTAAGCCTTACTGCGGAATTTTAATTTTTTTTAAATGTTTTTTATTTATTTCTAGGAGAGAGAGAGAGAGACAGCGTGAGGAGGGGAGGGCCAGAGAGAGAGGCAGTCACAGATTGAAACAGGCTTCAGGCTCTGAGCTGGCAGTCAGCACAGAGCCCGACGCGGGGCTCGAACCCACGAACCGCGAGATCATGACCTAAGCGAAAGTCGGACGCCCAACCGACTAAGCCACCCAGGCGCCCCTACTGCGGAATTTTATATATGAACTATCGGAGGTCCTATTAATGCAACCTTCATTGCCTCGCTTATAATACTTACCTTTAATTGTGGCTGGTGGAATTTTGGTTGTAGTGAAAGTGTAGATACCAGACAGTGGTCCCTCACCAGCTTTAGTGCATGTTTGTATTTTAAATTTGTATTGAGTATATTCACTCAGTCTGTTCACTTTGTAAGTCTGACAAGGTCCATGGTAAATGATAGAAAATCTGGTAGTGGGAATCAAGATGGGAGAAGCAATATTATTAATAAACAGTTATTCAGGTACACATATCTCTATATATCTGACTTGAAACTGGCACATCAGTAAGGCTTAAATAAAAGAACTTGAAGCCAGGTATGTACAACATAAAAGGGAAAAAATCAGGTTGTATATATCATAACAGCAAGGTGTTGGCTTTCATATTTCTTTAGTAACTTCTATTCCCTGGTATTAATGTATGTTATAAAAAGGAAGAAGTGTTTTTAAAGACGAAAAACTAGTGAGCTAAATTATCAGTAGGAATTAAACAAAATATGTTTAACATAATAATATACTGATTTCACATCTATCAGTTCATTGAAACCACTTTGGGTTATAGGTTTGATAGGAAATTTTAAAACATTTTTATTGTAATACATGTTTAATAGTACAAATAGCTTACCTGCCAGATTGATCTCCTATTAACAAATTGTAGCTTATAAGGTTGGAAAGTAATACTTTGCTTGAAGAGTTACCCCATTTCAGTTTGAGGCTCTGGTGTCCATAGACCACACAATCAAGATGTGGAGGATCAAGTGGTAGTGGCTTGGTTTTGGTTCTTATTGATTGGCTAAAAGGGCTTAGTCCATAATGATTGATAGCTTGAATTCTGATTCTAGTGGTAAGAAGAAAAAATATTAAACTACAATATTTTGGATTTAGAAAGGAAAAAAGTTTCTACATTTAAGCTATGTCTCTAGTAACCCTATGAAAGAATATTGACCATCATATTATATTATTAGCGATAAATTTGTGAAGCCCAAATCTTGAATTTGCATAATCACTATTGACAGTTTTTGATGAGAACAATTGGCTTTTAGTAATGCCAAATTTTTCTGAACCAGTAAAATTCTCTTTCAAAGAATATGTAGACTATATAAAACATAAAGATATAGACTTGTTCAAAATTCTCAAATAACTTTTTGTCTACCCAAAGTAAGATATAAGCAACTTACTTGTATGTGGTATCAGGCTGTAGATTTTTCAGAAGATACTCTGTTACTCTTTCAACAGTCAGAATTTTTCTGTCTCCATATTGAATGTTATATCCAGTGATTGGAGAGCCATGGCAATCTGGCTCCTCCCATTTAATGGCAATGCAAGATGATGCCAATTTGGCAGGAACTTTGTTTTCAACTTCATGTAGCATTGATACTACTGCTGGTACAGTTGCTGGTGTGGTTACTCTGCCAGTTCCTCCAAACAGTCCAACTCCAGCTATGTTTACAGCCTGAAAAAGTATACTCTGTTAGAGCTTCATTGTTACTTTGTTTTGTGTATAAAAACAAAATAAATTTTTAACCTTAAATTCTAAGAAAGTGGTTTTAAAAATTGACATATAATTGATTTATAACTCTGTGTAAGCTTAAAGTGTGTAACATGTTAATTTGATGTGTTTATACATTGCAATATGAAACAAGATGATTCAAAGATGCCCACATCAATACTAAAATCTTTAGGTTGCATATTTAGGAATGTGTAAGAAAAGTCTAAATGTGTGAAGGTAAGTGAAGACTGCTAATATGGACATTTCAGGGAAAATATACCCAAACTGAACTTATAACTTAGCCCACCAAAGTTCCTTCCTTTTCTTCATTTTGTAGCTTCTATCTCTGTTGGTGATAGCCTGAAGTTCACATCCATTCACAAGGTTTTATTGATTTTTGTACAAATATTTTATTTTTATTTTGATATCATTGTGGATTCAAATGTACAATTTACACATTTTACCCCAAAAGGAACATTTTGTATAATTATAGTACAGAATTACAATCAGGAAACTGACATTGATAAAATCTGTTGACATTATTCAGATTTCACCCGTTTTACATATACTCATTTTTATAGTACTATGCAATTTTGTCACATGTATAGCTTAATGTGATCACCAGCAGTTAAGATATTCCACTGCAAGAAGCCCTTGCACTACACTTTTATATGCACAGCAACTTCCTTCCCTCTTTTTCTAATTCCTTACAACTAGTAATTTATTCTTAAACACTATAGTTCTGCTATTCCAAGAATGTTGTATAAATGGAATAATGCAGTATTTAAATTTTTCAGATAGGCTTTTTTTCCCAGTCAGCATAATTCCTCTGAGATCCATCAGAGTTGTTGAGTATATCAATAGTTTGATTCTTTTTATTACCAAATAGTATGCCATAGAATGAACATACTACAATTTCTTAAACTATTTACATGTTGAAGGAAATCTGAATTGTTTCTAGCTTTTGACTTTTACAAATAAGGTGTTATGCACATCCATGTACAGGTTTTTATTGTGGACATAAGTTTTTATTTCTCTGGGAGAAGTGCCCCAAAGTGCTGAGCACATAGTAAGTGCATGTTTAGTTTTGGAAGAAACTCCCATACTATTTTCCAGAGTGGATGTAATTCCTACCAGAAATGTATGATTAGTTTCTTTACATCTTTGCCAGTATTTAGTATTATTACTGTTTCTTATTAGCCCATTCTGATAAGTGTGTCATGTTATCTCATTATGCATTTCCCTAATGACTAATAATATTGTAGATCTTTTCATGTGTTTATTTGCCATCTATATATCCTCTTCTGTGAATCGTCTCTTTATATCTTTTGCCCATTTTGTAATTGAGTTGTTTGGGTTTTTTAATTGTCAACATTCTAGAGTTCTTTATATATTCTAGATATTAGTCCATTGTCAGATATGTGTTTTGTTAAGATTTTCTTCCAATCTGTGCTTGTCTTTTTTGTCCTCCTCAAAAGATTTTATGCAAAGTAAAATTTTTTGTTTGAGAAGGTCAATTTTATCAATCTTCATTTTATGGATTGTGCTTTTGGTATCAAGTTTAAGAACTCTTTATTTACATTAGATTCTGAAGATCTTATGTGATTTTTTTCTAACAGTTTTATAGTTTTACATTTTAATTTTCAATTCTCTATGGTCCATTTTGAGTTAATTTTTGTATAAGGGATTATATGATTAAAAAAACTTTTTTTTGCCTATAGATAACCAGGTTCTACAGTATACCTTGTTGAAAAGGCTATTGTTAACTCTTTCCCATTTTGCCAAAGATTAATTGGGCTTATTTATGTGGATTGATCTCTGGGTCCTCTATTTTGTTTCATTGACTTATGTAACTTTCCCTCCACTAATACTACACTTTTTTTTCAATGTTTTATTTATTTCTGAGAGAGAGAGACAGTGTGAGCAGGGGAGGGTCAGAGAGAGGGAGACAAAGAATCCGAAGCAGGCTCCAGGCTCCAAGATAGCCATCAACACAGAGCCTGACGCGGGGCTTGAACCCACGAACTGTGAGATCATGACCTGAATCGAAGTCAGACACTTAACCGACTGAGCCACCCAGGCGCCCCTATGCTACACTGTCTTGATTACTGTAGTTAAATAGTAAGATTTAACATTAGGTAGAGTGGTTTCACCCACCTCTTTTTCTCTTTCAAGATTGATTTTTCTAGGTCTGGTGACTTTCTAAATTAAATTTAGAATGAGATTGTATATATCTATAAATAAACTTGTTGAGATTTCCATAGAAATGACATTGAACTTATAAATCTACTTGGGAAAAGCTGATTTCTTTACTATATTGAGTCTTCCCATCTATGAACATGGTATGTCTCTTTAGTTATTTAGGTCTTTCTTTAAATTTATAAAATGTTATTTATTTTTGAGACAGAGAAAGACAGAGCATGAGAGTGGTAGTGGCAGAGAGACAGGGAGACACAGAATACGAAGCAGGCTCCAGGCTCTGAGCTGTCAGCACAGAGCGCAATGCAGGGCTCAAACCCACGAACGTGAGATCATGACCTGAGCCAAAGTTGGAGGCTTTTCCGACTGAGCCACCCAGGCACCCTTAGGTCTTTTTTGATTAATCAGCATTATGTAATTTTCAGCATGCATGTACAGTACATGTTTTGTTGGATTTATACCTAAATATTTTCTTAGAAGTGATTGTAAATGGTACTATTTTAAAATAAATACTTTATTGTTTATTTATTTATTTATTTATTTATTCATTCATTCATTCTTATTTCAAATTCCAGTATAGTTAACATACAGTGTTATGATAGTTACAAGTGCACAATATAGTGATTCAACTATTCCATACATCACCTAGTGCTCATCACAAAAAGTGCACTCCTTAGTCCTCATCAGCTATTTAACCCATTACTCCATCCCCTCCCCTCTGGTAAGCATAAATTCGTTGTCCATAGTTAAGAGTCTGGTTTTTGGTTTGTCTCTCTCTTTTTTTCCTTTGCTCATTTATTTTCTTTCTTAAATGCTACATATGAGGGAAAACATGTATTTTTTTTTAAATAACTTGTTTCACTTAGCATTATACTCTAGCAATTTGCAATGGCATGGATGGAGCTAAAGAGTATAATGGTGTTGTGTTTTAAATGTCTGTTCATACATGTTTGTTGTTAGTAAATAGAAATATGGGTTATTTTGGGGGTGTTTATCTTGTATCCTGCAACCTTGGTGACCTCACATATTTGTTCTCAGAGATTTTTGTACATTCCTTGTGGTAGTCTATGTAGATGTTTTCTGCAAAATAAGTACAGTTTTGGAGCACCTGGGTAGTTCAGTTGTTTAAGTGTTTGATTTCGGCTCGAGTCATGACCTCACGGTTTGTGAGTTCGAGCCCTGTGTTGAGCTTTGTGCTGACAGCACAGACCCTGGCGCCTGTTTTGGATTCTGTGTCTCCATCTCTCTCTCTCTCCGACCTCCCTCCCTTGCTCATGCTCTGTCTCTATCCCTCCCAAAAATAAAAAAAACATTAAAATTAAAAAAAAATAGAATAAGTACAGTTTTATTTCTTCCTTTCTAATCCGTATGCCTTTTATTTCCTTTACTCACCGTATTCCAATGACTGAATTAAGATTAAGAGTGGTGAGAGCTGACATCTTTGCTTTGTTTTTAGAGGAAATCACTGTTAAGTATGATGTTAGTTGTAGGTTTTTTTGTAGATGCTCTGTATAAGTTGAAGAAGTCCCCATCTATTCTTACCTTTCTGAGATATTTTTGAACACTAATGGGTATTGGATTTTTAAAAATGTGTTTTCTGTGTCAATTAATATGATCATATGATTTTTTTTAATCTCCAGCCTGTTTGTATAAAAAGTTACATTAATTTTCCATTTCAAACTAGGGTTGCATAACTGAAATAAATCCCACTTGGTCATGGTGTATAATTCTTTTTGTACAGTGCTGGATTTGATATGACATTATGTTGTTGAGGGTTTTTTGCATCTAAATGAGTTATTTGTCTTCAAATAACTTCAAATGGTTTTTTTCCTCCTACACTCTTTGATTTTGGTTTTAGGGTGATACTTTCCTCATAAAAGGAATTGGTACCTCTCTCATCTTTATTTTCTGGAAAATATTATTTTAAATTTGTGTTAGTTTTTCTTTAAATGCTTTGTGGAATTCTCCACCGAAACTATCTGGACATGGAGATTCCTTTCTCAGGGGCTTTTTAGTTATGAATTCAATTACTTTAATGACCATAGGGATATTCATATGTCCATTTCATTTTGGCTGAATTTCCTATATCAGTTCTAGCAATATTTTTGTGGAGTCTTTTGAATTTTCTATATAGAGTGTCGTCATTTGCAAATAGTGAAAGTTTGACTTCTTCCTTGCCAATTTGGATGCCTTTTATTTCTTTTTGTTGTCTGATTACTGAAGTTAGCACTTCCAGTACTACATTAAAAGTGGTGAGAGTGCGCCAGTCAGAGTGGCTAAAATGAGCAAATCAGAGAACTCTAGATGCTGGCGAGGATGTGGAGAAACGGGCACCCTCCTACACTGTTGGTGGGAATGTAAACTGGTACAGCCCCTCTGGAAAACAGTGTGGAGGTTCCTCAGGAAACTAACAATAGAACTCCC